CACTCACTTACTTTAAACCAGAAACTTCTCAAATAGCCACAGTGTGCCCTGGCTAGGTGGACAGAAGGGGAACCTGCTTTTATGGAGATAAGACTAGTAGGGGGTGGGGAGGAGAAAGATTGCTTAACTAATAAATAAGACAACTCAAAACCATGGAAAGTGCTAGGAAGAGAACAAGACATGTCTAGGGCCCAGACCCTAGAGAGGGACTGAGTGCTTAGGTGAGACGTGAGCCAGGAGTTAGGGAAGGCCTCTAGGAGAGAGACCTCATATTTTCAATCCTAAAAAGTCCTGGCAGAGAAAACAGCAGGTGCAAAGTTCCTGAGGTAGGGAGAGGATTGGGAGTTTCTGGAAATCTTAGAGTCTGGCCAGTGTTATCAGAACATGACGAGTGACAGAAGGTGAGGTAGAGAAGGTCTGCAGGTCCCCTCCACACAGGGCCTGATGGGGGCATAGGGGTGGAAACCATCTTTTCTAGTGGGGGGCAACGCAACTGGGCCTACAGCTGCTGGGGGGGCAGAGACCAGCATTATGATGTCTCCAGCACTGGACCTGGGGGAGGGACTTGCAAGTTCCTGCTGCTCCAAGAGGAAGCTAGAGCTGTAAGATGGATAAGAGCCACTGCCCACTCGCCCACCTTCTGGACGAGAAGGCCTAGCCTTGTTGCGGACCTGCCATCTCTGCCCTTGTCCCAGCCCTTGAGTGACAAGAGGCTCTCGTGGCCTGTGTGCCGACTCCTCCATGGCCTGGCCAGGTGGCGGTTTCCTTGGGAGGCCAGTGAGTCACACCAAAGCTTGGCTGTCCCTTTTGCCCCATGGTCTGGAATGTCCCCTCTCGGGGGAGCACCCGGCTGGCCTAAGCAAAGGCTTCCCCTACCAGACAAGGGCCGATCAGAGTAGGAAGCAAGCTTCGGGCGTAGATGGAAGCTTTCCAGGACTTCAGAGAAGAAACCCTCAGCAAGGAGAGAATGTGCAGCACATAGATCTCCATGCCAGGCACTAGACACAGATCAACCCATTACTCCTGCAGGCGGCACTCCCTAAGATCCTGCCGCCCCTAAGATCTGCCCACCTGGCACCTGGCAGTGCCCTGTGTACCTACCCGGGGTGAGGGTAGGACCCTGGGTCTAGACTCAGCACTGAGTAGATGAGTGGGCGAGTGAGTGAGTGAAGGACCCCGGGAGTGTGCAGGGCAGCGAATCTCTCCCCATGTCATGGAGGTCCAGATGCAGCTGACTCTGTCTGGGTAGAAATCCAGGGCTCACCCCGGGCACCACCTGCCCCCAACAAGGGGGATGGGGGGGGGGCTGTCCCCGGGACAGCCCACAGGAGGGACCCACCTTCCTCCCTCTGCCCTGTGCTCTGCCTTCCTGGGCACACTGCCCTGGCTGTCAGCATGGAGGACACAGGCCAGGTCAGGTGGGAGGAGCCCTGTGAAGTGGGCGTTGCATCTGTGGGAGGCAGGAAGGTGAGAGGCACAGGGACAGGGGCCCAGGCGCCAGGGTGGGAGCTTTGGGCCCCTGAGCCTGGGTGCACCCTGGCCTGGAGGCATAGGGTTGCCAGATGAAATACAGGACCCCGGGTAAATTTGAATTTGAGGTTAGCAACTGATCAATTTTTAGCATAAGTATGTCCCAAATAGTGCATGGGATATACTTACTCTAAGAAATGATTTGTTGTTTCCCTCAAGTTCCATTTCACTGGGCTCCCTTATTTTTGCTTGTGAGATCCTCAGCCCTGCTTGTGGAGGAATGACAGGGCAATTGTCAGGGCAGATCTTAGGGAGTGCCGCTCACGGCAATGCAGGGCTGAGGGTGAGGATCCGCTGCAGGCCTGGGGCAGACAGGCCCGGAGACCTCAGCTTTTGCCCTGACAATGCGGGGGGGGGGGGGGGGGGGCGGACAGTGCTGCTCAGGGCCTCTTCCAGCCCCAGATCTGAAGCCCGCCCACCCCCTGTCTCAGCGGTCATTCTCCCGCAGGATAAGGATGGCCAAAGTCGAGCCAGGCCGGCCCCCACCGTGTCCCCACCTCCCTGGTTGTGCTCCCAGCTCCAGCCTTCATCCATGTCCATTCACACCCAAGCCCCTGCTTTCTGCACCAGAGCTCCTGGGGTCCCATGTCAGGGAAAGGGCCATGCTGGGTCCTCTGTCCCACCTGTCACTTGTCCCAGGAACACAGAGTCGGGCCCAGAGGAGGTGTTTGGGAAATGGCCAAGCTGGATACGAAGTTCCTGTTCCCCCATTAAGACAGACGCTTCTTGGGGGAAGGAGTGACTCTGATACGGGGCTCGAGTTCTGTGCGCTGCCCGGCCCACGGGGTTTCCTCAGACCCCAGGCCCCTCTGCCGATGACCGAAGTCCCTGTCACCAGAGCTGCTGTCTCCCGAGCCTCCAGCTCTGGGGAGGGCGTTTCCTATGTGTTTTCTCCAGGTCTTGCATCATCCCTGATGATGGGGGTGAGGGGAGGTGTGGCCCCGTTGTACAGATGTGGAGACTGAGGCCAGAGAGGCCACCCAGACAGGAAGGGGTGGAGCATGTTCCCAGCCAGGCCTGCCCAACTCTGCATGTTGACCTCCAAGGGCCATCCAGAGGCTGGTGGCTGCCTGAGCTGGGAGCCCCCTTTCCCTGAGGTTCGTTCTGGCCCCAGGACCAGGGATCAGAGATGGGCCTGCTCTTTGAAACTCTGCTCCCCAATCTCCTCCTGAGCCAGGACCAGCAGGAGGTGACTAGTGTCAGGATCCCAGCGGCCATATTCAGTGGTAGCAGTGTGAGGTGACAGTCAGTGTTTCCCCAAAGTCTCTGCTCTCGGGAATTCCCCAGAGCCCATGTTCAATGCAGATTCCCGGGCCCTGGCCTTGGAGCTTCATTAGGCCTGGAGCGGGGCCCTGGGATCTGCCTTTTAACCAGCAGCTGATTTCAAAGCCATTTCTCTGCCCATCCCCCAAATTCTACTGGCTGACTCTGCAGAGGGCGAACGGGGTGTGTGTCCAGGGAGAGCGCTGTCTCCTGGGGAGGGAATGCCTAGGCCCCAGGTCTGGCCCTGGCATCTGCATCCTCAGCCCATGCCCCGATGTGGTTAGGAAGGAGGAGAGTGGCATGACCTTGTGTCTGTGGGGTGACTTCCGCATGGTAGGGCCATGGCTAATTCTCGAGACACCCCCAACCTGATGGCCAAGAATGACAGTTTGTCCCCAAATGGGGTTTCCAAGGGGGTTTTCCTACCTTCTCACCCCCTAGGGACTCTCTGAGCCCCAACTTAACAGCTAGCAACAGCTGGTGATTCTCCGGGTTAGAGGAAAAGCCCCTAAATGTTTTGCAACGGCTTCTCACCTCCACCTGCCCTCTCCTGAGCATCCTAGGCAGCTGGGGACTAGCGGGGTAGGGGAAGCTTAGGGTCCCCCAGCCTCTTAGTGCGACACTCGCCTGTGCCTGGAGCCAGCTTTGGGCTGGAAGAGACAATAGGCCTTTCTAGAAACCTGGGGTTTGCTAGTGTAGATCCTTAATGGTTCAAGGGGCGGTTCAGAGGCCTGTGGCATCAGCATCACCTGGGAGCTTCTTAGAGCGATGCTTCGCAGGCAGGCCCAGACCGGCTGACCCTTCAAGATGGGCATATGTCCCCAGGAGAAAGCACCCTCCCCGCACACACACCTGCCAGGCTCTTTGCGGAGTCGACTGGGGGAAGGGAGGGGGTGCTCACCCAGGGATCAGAGCTTAAGCAGCTCCAGGCAGCTCTGTTTCTTAGTCCAACCCCTGGGCACACCCCAGGCCCCTCCTCCCTTCAGGGGGCCAGCAGTGAATGAGTTGGTGTCAGGAGCTTGTGGACCTGCGGCCTTTTTCCAGGTCACCAGGGGATGGGAGACAGACCCCTCCTGCCCCTGACAGGAGGGCAAAGGCAGGACTAGGGGCCCTGGCATCTAGACTCTCAGCCCTCTGCTCCTGGGTAGGGGGGTCAGGAGTGGGAGAGGGCAGAAAAGAGCGGAGTGACCTTGTCCTGGGCCAAACAAGACTTGCGGGTGGCAAGCCTGCTTTCCTGGGAGATACCCGGGGAGGCCTTACCATCCAGAATCACTACCATGTCTGGCACGCGGAGGAGGGAAAATCTCACTGTGGTCAGCAGATTCACCTGTTAAAAAGCAGAGTCCACGGCCTGCACTCCAGGCCTTCCCAGTCTCCAGGGCTGGGGCTGGGAATCTGCTCTTAAGAAGGGCCCGGGAGAATTCTTGGCATCAGAGACTTTTGGGAAACACTGGCTTTCTCCCAACCCTAAATGAGGCTGCCCAACACCGACATTCATTCGTTCGTTCGCTCAGCCATCCGACAACTATGCGACATCCACCTCATTCACTGTCCCACCCCACCCCGTTCTTCCCCGATCTCTGTTCCCGGGCCCCGAGTGCGCCTCTGAGCCCGAATCGTCCCCTCTGTGCCGCCGCTCCGGCTTCGCCCTCCATCCCCCCCACTCTGGGCGGCAGCTCTCGCGGAGGCCCCCAGCGAGCCCGGGGCCCGGGACCCTCCCAAGCCCCGCCCGCCCGCACCCGGGCGGCCGAGCCCACCTCCCCAGCCCGCGGCTGCGCTCTGGGCCCCGCGCGCCCCGCCCCCACCCGAGACCTGCACCGCGGGGCGCCAGCCCGGACCCCGCTGCTTCCCACCCTCCCGGCGTCCCGGCGCATCGGCGAGAGGCGGAGCCGGAGCCTGGGCTGTGGGCTCCAGGTGCTCTCTGGGGAGGATGAAGCAGGTAGGGCCACGGGGATGCCGGAGGCAGGATATGGGGGGAGAGGACGGGAGGAGCCTGCGGGAGCTCCGGGCGGGGTGGTGGTGGGGAGGCGGTTTGGAGCAGGGGGAGGGGAGGGACAGGAGGAAGGAGGCTCGTGCTGGGGCCTGGGCCGCACCCCAAATGAGCAGGAAGCCTCAGATTGCAGCCGCGGGGGAGGGGCCCCTCCAGCAGAGGGAGTGGGGGTGGGGATGCGCACCGCCTGCCACCCGTGTTTGGTGTCCCCCAGGCCCTGGTGGACGATACTGAGGATGTGTCCCTGGACTTTGGTAATGAAGAGGAGCTGGCCTTTCGGAAAGCCAAGATCAGGTATGTTAGGACCTGGCGTTTAACAAGCATCCTCCAAAGCTGCATATTCACTTGTTCACATTCACTCACCCACTTATTCATTCATTCATTCATTCAGAATGTGTTGAGCATCTAGTGCATGCCAGGCATGGGGCTAGGGAAATAGCCTGGGCAGATCAGACAAGGTCCGTGCCCTCCTGGGGCCTGCAGGCTGGGCTGCAGGGGACTAACAGTGAACAGGCGAACAAAGATGGTAATGAGATAGTTACACAGTGTGAGAAGATTTGGGAGGAAAACATCAGCGGCTGGTCACGAAAGGTGATGTGAAGTCCGCTGGCCCTGAGTGCAGCCAGGGAGGGCCCCTCCGAGGAGGTGGCATTTGCACTGAGACCTGAATGGTGAGAAGCAGCCAGCCATGGGAGACTCGGGAGGAAGAGTGTTTCAAGCAGAAGAATAGCAGGTGCAAAGGCCCCAAGGCTGTGTTGGAAGGTCAGAGAAAGGCCCCTGTGTCTGGAGGGTAGTGGGGGGAGGGAGAGGGGCTGGCAGGGAGGCTGGAGAGCTAGACAAGGTCTTCAGTTTTTATTGTAATCCTTGCTTCAGCGCCGGACAGACATAGTGTCCTGGGTTGAGTCCCTTGCCTAGCAGAGACCTTGCACATTCCAGAAGGTGGCAGGACTAGGGCGTGAGGAATGACTTATGGACGCTGTTGCCGATGACCTGGGCAGCTACCCATCTAGAAACACATGTCTCAGGCACCCTTACCATCTCTCCTCCTGCCCTCGGAGCCAGCAGGTGGGGGCCTGGCCCCTAAATGCCATTCCTTTCTAATTCTCTGATCCAAGTCCAATAAACCCCAGATTGGAATATGACCGTATGAGTGTCCTAGGGCTCTTGTAACAAATGACTCTAAGCTTGGCCTAGAAACACTAGAAATTTATTCTCTCACAGTGTTCTGAGCAAAAGATTCATGAAACAGCCATGTCTGGGTTTCGAAAAGGAAAGATAACTTTATTATTATTATAGAAATCTAATAGAGACAGGAGAAGAAAGGAATCTACACATAGATGAAGGTAATAGTAGGCAAAGTTACATCAAATCAGGTACTTACAGCATCCAGCCTCATCAGCTGGGCCAAGTCCCATGGAGACAGCCGGGCTGGAGTCCCAGGTGAGAGGCCTGGGCAGAGCGTCCTCCCCCTCGCTGAGCCTTCCAGCCGACCATCCCCATAAAGGCCGTATTTATAGGGCAAATGACAGGGTTTGAAATTAAACATTTGTTCACCTACGTGCAGTTTGGAGCAAGCTGCATTTCCATGTTTTCGTGTTTCTCTGTTTTCAAGAAGCCTGGGCTATGTGTGTCTGCCTCCCCTCCTGGATTCTGGATTCCAACCCCGGGGGGCCAGCCCGGCCTGCAGCAGGAGGGGATATGCAACAAGATTCATAGCCCTTGGAGCCCAGAACGGAAGGGCCAGCTCTGACCTGGAGGCCAGCTAATACATTTCCAACAACCAGGCTCCTGAGGTCATTCATGCAGCACGAGTCCCATGAACAACATTCTTAGCCTGCCTGTGTACGTGCAGGTCTGGGTGGTCGGTTATGCGGGACAAATCACCGCAATCACACATCTGTCCATACAGAACACACAATTCTGGAGGCCAGAAGTCCGAAATCATTTTCACTGGGCCTGGACCCTGCTCGAGGCTGTAGGGGAAGATCTGACCCTTGCCTTTCCCAGCTTCCGGTGGATGCCAGCTGGAGCCCCTTCCCCCATCTTCAAGGCCAGCCTTGCAGCATCTTCGAATCTCTCTGCCCTATTTTCCTGTTGCCTCTTCTCTGTCAATGTCCCTCTGCCTTCCTCTGCTAGGGTTGCTTGTGAGCGCGTTTAGGGCCCATCAGGATAATCCGGGATAATCACCCCACCTCAAGATCCTTTACTTAATTGAATATGCAGAGTCCCTTTTGCCACATGAAGTGACATTCACAGGCTCCAGGGATTAGGACTTGGATATTTGGGGGGGGGGGG